GGGGGGGGGGGGGGGGGGGAGGGAATGTCTAGACAGGCCTGAATACAATGTACAGGCCAAAAAAGAAAAAAAAAAAGTGTGCACAGTATACATGTGTACACTGTATACTTTCGTATATGTGTACCATGCACACAGTATACACATGTGCCCGGTATACTTTCCAGATGAATTTTTCAGTCAGCAATGTCCGTTGGGGTCAATGGCATGACGGGCAGAGCAGCCTCAACTACCATATCATCCAGATGTTACAGGCACCCACACAGTAGCAGAGAGGGAGGAAAGGCAGCGACATTTACATGGACAGCATGTCCTGAGGAACTCCAGTTACTGGAAAGAAACTGAGCACTTGCCCACCTTTGTGTGTCAGTGCCTTGATGCAAGAAGTGAATACTTGGAGTTCAGTAAATAACTTGCATAGGTGCACTTCAACCAAAAGCAGCATTGGACCTACATACTTCTACTAGGGGAGTGGTTTAGTATAAGTATGGGATGAACCGCCAGTAACCCGCTTGCAAGTGTCTGTACCTGGGTGTTCCTTACAAGGAACCTGCAGAATTGCTGGAGTCCTGATATGAACTGGGGGGTCTATCTGTTAGCTATTGTACAGTAAATCTTAAATGGAGCAACATAGACTTATTTTCTCAGTAAATGCTGAATCACATCACAGAAAGCCTGAGGGATTTGGCCCTTTACAAATATGAGAAGGGCTCTGTAAATAGGAAGCATCTTCTCCCGCTTGCTAGCATGTGACTTGAGGAATGCTAATAAATGACTGACCTGGTTTAAATGGAAAGCTGGAATCCTTGGATGTGGTCTAAGTAATACCTTACTTCTAAGGAATATGGCATAAAAAGGTCATGCCATGAAGCTGCCTATCCCCCAATTTTTATTGGATGTAACCGCTACTAGAAAAGATGTTTTCATAGTTAAGGGCAACAGAAAGCATGTTGCTATGATTTCAAGTTGCCTGTTAAACCTACCAGAACCACATTAAGGCCCCATGGAAGGGAAGGCTCTTGCAGCTGTTAAAGAAAACCTCAAATATAATTCCCCTAAAGAATTTTAACAGTGGGATGGGGAGACTGTGAAGGGCAGCTGATAAGCAGACGTTCCTTGTAAAAACATTTAAGTGTGTACTCCTTCAGATGGTATAGATGTTTCTAATTTTTAGGAATGTTTTAATGTTTAACACTGTGTGCATTCATATCTTGTTAGCCACCATCTTGAATGCAAGTCCATTTACAATAATGGACTAACTATATTCAATTTAGGAAGAAGATTCTTTTAGGTAGGAAAGCATTTTAGTAGGTCTTTGTTAGAGTGCTGGGAAAGAAGTAGATCCCACTGCATCATTTATCTTGCTCTGATTATTTGTTAAAACAAAGTGACTTCTAAAACTAATCCAAAATGCAGTGATCCTTACAAACTGCCCATTAATTGTGTACGCGCACACACACGGCAAGAGTCAAGCAATCATGCCACAACATGCACAGAGGAATTTTGAAGTTTAAAGCAGATATTTTTCTTTTGTTGCTGAAACAAATACTTCACTGGTAGTGTTACTATAACACAATCCAAGTCCTGTTCAGAGAAAAAGCTACACAGTAATTATGAATCAGTGAAGATTCCCACTCCCCCTTTACCTGTTCTTTTCTTCAAGTTCCTTATTAGCTTTCCTCTTGAATTTGGGCAGCAGCTGCTGAAGAAGGTCCTTCACTGCATCTCTTTCCTTCACTGCTGTGCTTTCATTGGAGAAGTGGAAGTTGGTTGTGTCCCCTGCATGCAATACCAGCTGAAGTTGAATTTTAGCTTTTCCTTCAGGACTAATTTTCTGGCCTAGATTACACAGGAAACAAATTAGTGAGAGACTGTATTAAAGAAACTGTTTCCCTAGAGCAATTAGATAGATGTAGTTATCTACACCATGTTATTAAATCCTGTTATGCCAGATAGGTGGTACTGCAGCATGCATCTTCTAGCCACAAAAGTGACACAAATTAATTTAAAAAAAAGCTAAATCTCACTTTCAAAAAATCTAGGACATCCTGGCTTGCCGCTGAGTATTCCTCAGTTGCAGCTCAGAAGTCTGAAAACCACTTTTGCATTCCTCAGGTTCTGTGTTAGAAGACTAACCAGACTTAGAGCAGCCCTCAGGTACCCTCAACTTGTAGGACAGAGAAGTGTTAGAGTCCTACATCTTTTCCCAAAGCCCCAGGAGAAGAACCATATTGGACCTGCTATGGTATTTCTCTATCGCTCAAGGATCCTTCTATGCTGGGGCATCCCCCTGCTACCCTGGTTTTAGCAAAGTAGTGCAAAGGCACCCTAATGTGGCTCAGGATCTAAACCCCAATCTATAACTGAGAAATAGGAATCAAAAAAGCACTATTAAAATGCTGTGCTCTCTTATTGCACCCTAACAGAATGCAGAGTCATTCAATCCCATCAAACAATAAAAAGGTATCTTTCAACTCAAGAGCATATGACTATTTACTTGGTTTCTTCAGGGACTCTCCAGTCTTCTACATAACACAAGCATTATGATAAATTAAACATCTAGAGAAGATAACAGCTTTACAAAACTTGTAAGGCTAAAATGAACATGAATCTAAATCACTATTACACTGGTAACTGTCAAAGGTAGCTGTATTTTGGAGTTCTGACTCAACATGATTACTAGCCACACAAACCTTGTGTGTGTTCCAACATTCCTAGGTGAAGAACTAGCAAATGTGTTGTCTAAATTCAGAAGCAGACATTAAGTCTGCAAGGATTTATTTTATGTCTTGCATTACTGAGCATGGCCAAATAGCTCTGAAGTGAGCCTAGCACAGTGCATGTAAGAGCTACATAAACTCCAGCAGTACCTTGGCTTTAACCTGCACCACCCTACTCAAGTGCAGCAGTTTATTACACAGAGATTATCAATGACTTTCGGGAGGATCACAGTGAAATAACTGAACTTTAAAAAATTGTGGCCCCAGAGTTAGAGTGTTAATCAGATTTTCTACAGTGAGAGGCTAGTACAATGAACAGGGACATTTCATGCCAACAAGTTGTGCTTTGGTTAGTTTATATCCATCCATGATATGCACTTTACAGAAATGCTCTGGCAGCTTTGGATTCACTTCTTGACAGATGATGATGGGCAAAATAGTTGCCTACTAGCATCTATTAAATCCTCTATCTTCCACATGCAGCGACACAGCTGATTTTTCTACTACAGTGCAATACAGATCTGTACCCAACCTATTACAGAAACTACTGCCAAACAGGAAAAAGATTTCAGAAATGTGAGGGCGGTCTGCATTAAAATGCTGCCTGCAAACCTTCTAAATTAGAGGACCCTCTGTGACAGTATACTCATGGATACCAGAGAAGGTAGGCTCATGAAAGGTCCAAAGAGTCAAAGACACTTGCAAGTTATCCAGGTATTTCACAGGAGATACAGTTTGAGTCTTATTTAAATACTAATACCATGCACACACTTATAACAGATAAAACAGAAAAAGCTTTCACTTACATTTTATGTCTGCATACATATGGCTGACTGTGAATCGGTCTTTGCCTTCAGGTGCCCAGGCTATCCTTTCAGCCATAAGGTAGAGAGCCCCATCCTGCTTCTTTTGACGCACCTTCTTCACTATCAGTAACACTTCTTCAGAAGAGGTTGCCATGATGGCTATAAGGTGCTAATGAAAGCATAGGGTATAACTGGCCACTTAATTAAGTATTCATTCATGTCACTTCTATGACAATATTTTTCCAGTATTTCAACTTGTTTCCAGAGATCAAAACTTGAATTTATGCACTAATAAATTATTGTATATCGACATTTACCAGTGCTCAAGCCAGGAACAAACATACATCAAGCTCTTCTGCACAGATGCAGTGCGTTTTTAAATAGAATACAGCCATCTACATAAACAGCCATTTTCTGATTATATTTCTAATGTTTGAGTTCCAGCTACATGTATAAGTTCATATGTCTCTCTCTACATATAACCCATATTTTCCATTTACCTTTTTATATTTCGGAACTGGTTTGTCAAATAGAGAAAGAAGCCAATACCTGCAAAAAAAGGTATGTTCCAAATCCCCTACGGCATTTGACAATTTTTTTTTTTCCTAAAGATCACCTTCCTTTCTCTAAGAGACAGGAGGAAGAGGTACCAGGAGACTTTCAGGCTCTTAGCTCTATGCCCTCTATGTCTTCCACCAGTTAGAACTATGCAAGGCTTCAACAGGACTTCTGGCATAACCAACTGGCCTATTTTTACCCACAAAATATTCTGGGTCTCATCTTGCTCCCATAGAAAAGAACAGGGATTTGATCACTGACTTCAACAAGCGCATTTTTTACTATGAGTAGGGTAGAGAGACAAGTGTCCCTTTCTCCTTCAGTTTGCAATGGCATTCTTAAGTTCATCAAGAGAATCAAGTGAACTAGCTTCATTACTATACCTTACATACCTATCAGAATCAGATGAGTCTTCCTCAATACTATATCCGGTGCTTTTCTATATTTTGTTTGTTCTACTCCTGCAGTTGCATCTGTGCCATGTACCTGGCTGTCTGTTGTGCTCCCTTTGCTGCCAACACCTTGAATACACACAACTGCATTTTCTTACATTTGAAGCATTGAGGTATGCCTCAGAACTTCCAAAGAACATTTGTAGTATACCTAATGCTAATATGCAACAAGATCAGAAACCAAAAAGCAAGCCCACTTATTCATGGCTATGCTTTTACCAGGATCTTTAAAAGAACCGGATATTTTTCACATTCAGTCCTGACCTTCAACATTGGTCATTACAAAAGAACAGCACTCTGCTCCTCAGTGAAGATCTTGGAAGCTGAACTATCAGACAAGATGCGTTAGATAAAACATTTAAGTGGAAAGACCTATAAGAATAAGATGTATTTGCACTCAAGCCTTGAAACAATACCACTTAGATCAACAGGAGTTTTGTTATTTACTTCACTAGAACAGAATTGGATCCATGAGCATTTTCTTTACATCTCGTGAAAGAGACAGTGTTACTTACTGGTAGTATATTTGGCAGCTAGGGTACAACATCTCTGAGTTCTGGTGATACTTCAGTTTGTAAGAAACTAAAATCATAGCTTGCAAGTTAACCTCCATCAAAATTCCATACCACTTTCTTGTCTCCTAATACCATTATTCTGTAACTGACTGTGAACAATCGAGATAACCCACTACCTTCAGACCAGCCATTATTTTTTCTTGGTATTATTTAGACTCAAGAACAACTGCTTGAAAATGAAACCTTCCTGAGACCCCAGGAATTTTTACCCCTGCTAGTTTCCAATTTGTGCCTTTCAAAGTCTTCTGTTTGATTTTGTTTTTGCATTTTGATGTTTCATTGAATTAAAATTTTTTGTACTCTAATGAATTTGAGGTATAGGAGTCCTCACTAAGGACCACAGAATTAAAACTGCACTCAGCTGAATTAACTGAATAATTTTGTTTATATTTAGATTTCTCCTGTGGTGCACTATTAAGCTTTTCTGCTATCCTGTTTCTTATGCACACAACTGGTTTTTCAAATGAGAAAAAAAAAATCAGTTGCTGGTGACTTCTCTTTTAAAGATGTAATGTTTCTGGTATACCATTCTGCAGCGTGCAGCTTCTGAATGCACAGTATCCCACAAGCGGCTCTTTCCATCTTCTGGGAAATTAACTACACTAGGTCAATGCTTATTTTTTGCCTTTCACGCCACTGTAAAGAACTGCAGTTTAAAGATAACATAACTCTGCCTGAAGATTGTTCACAAGCAGCAAACATTATCCAAAATGGAAACCTTCCCCTCTTGTCCAATCCCCTTTTTACACTGAACCAAGGAAAATATCAATATATCCAACTACTTCTCCCTTAGCTGCTAGGAAAGATGATGGTGTACTAGGCTTTTTTCTGGGTTTCGTCTTGATACTGTTCCAGTGGGAGGGCTCTGTATTTTCTATCAGCCTCCAGCTAGAAAGAATGTGTTACATTTAACAGGCAGACAAGGTTCTTTGGGTAAATCTGGTATCTTTTATTAAATCAACTCAAATAGTTGGAAAAATTCTTCTTTGCATTTTTTCAAACTATTTGAGTTGGCCTAATAAAGATATCAGATTTACCCAAAGAAGCTTGTCTACCTATGTCCTTAGACCAACATGGCTATGACCTATACCCCTGTTATATTTAAGAGAAAAATGT